GCTGCAGCTTTGATTTGCTTCATTTCTCTTCTGATGAAACTCACTTTATTGTTTTACTGATGACTCTCTGGTTTCTGTTCAGAGCCTGTCAGGTTGGTGGGAGGAGCCAGTCGCTGTGCAGGAACACTGGAGCTGAAACAGGGAGACTGGAGACCAGGGAGTGACTCTGTCTGGACCCTGAAGACAGCAGCTGTTGTCTGTAGAGATCTGGACTGTGGCTCTGTTGTTTCTGTAGGACAGAGAGAGGAGTCCTCAGTCAGACCTTTGTGGTGGATCAGGTCTAACTGTGTTCAGTCTGGATCTGCTCTGAGGGAGTGTGCATCATCATATTCCTCTTCCTCCATCCTGGATCTCACCTGCTCAGGTAAACCCATCAGTGACATCATCTATGACATCATGTATGACAGTAATGTCTCCAGTGTGTCCTCTCCTCTGTCTCAGTGTCTCAGTGGTTTCCATTGGACTGAACTGTAAAGTTCTCCAGGACAGTGACGTCCTAAAGTGTAGAGAGGTGGGCTTGTTTCTGGAAGCTTCACCTGACAGGACACACCTGGAGGAACCTGTCTGTCTGTCTGTCTCTGTGTTTGGGGACGTCCCACCAGGTGGATCCAGTCCCTCCTTTTACAGTCTGTCATCGCTCTGCTCCATGTTTGTTACCCGTGTCAGACCTGTGACATCACTTCCTTTTTCAGGGGCCATTTTGTTTACTGACTCTACTGTCAGTGGTGACGACACCATCTCCTTGGACTGTAGCCAGCTCCACATATCACACCAGAAGGACTGCACAAACTCACAATAAAAAAACATGTGATATCAAAATCAGTCCCATTCATACCGCCATCTTCATAGTTTTAACCATGTCAGTCTTCCTTATATAACGGAATTTATTTCTCCACATGAAGTTAAAATTGATTGTATTCACTGCTTTGATCATACTCACTGATATGGGTAAGGAGAAAGCCGGGTAAATGAGTCTGGACAAACTATCCGTTGAAGAGAGTAGAACCCTTCCTAAGATTGTGACGTCGCTCTGCAGCCACCTATTTAGAATTGACTTACATTTGTCTGATTCCACATATTCATATAGCCAATTGTTCTTTTCCCTTTGGAAATAACAATTCCCAAGTATTTAACCTGCTTCTTAATTTTTATATTATGTAGTGACTGCAGAGGATAATCATGTAAGGTTATCATTTCACATTTATCTACGTTCAACTGTAAGCCTGAGGCCTTAGAAAACTGGCTGATCGTCTGTAACGCTAAAGGGATTCGATTTTCATCCTTTCAAAATAAAGTTGTGTCATGAACAGAGGGTGAATGAGACCTTTCATCATCTGTGTTTACAGACCTGCTGCTTCAGCCCAACATCTCTGTGTCCTCCTCCGTGAACGGGGTCTCCGAGGCCCAGCAGCAGGGGTTTCAGGTGTCCAGGGGCTCCACCTTCACCATCAGCTGCTCCATCCAGCCACAGTACCCAGGAGGCTCCTTCCAGCTCGCCTTCACCTCCTCCATCACATCACACAACTACACCCAGCCAGCTGTTAATCACTCTGCCCACTTCCTGTTTCCTGCTGCAGAGTCCGCCCACCAAGGAAGCTACAGCTGTGTTTATCACCTCCATGTTTCTTCTCATGACTTCTCCTCTGAGAGCCGTCGGCTGTCTCTCACTGTCTCAGGTAAGCTGAAGCAGAGCAGCTGAAACGTCACACTGACTGTTTCCATGCAGCTTTGGAAAAGATGATTCCGTCCAAACTGGCGTTTTCCTGCCGTGCCTGGTGTGTTTGTCACTTTTTAGATTCCCCTGGAAACAGTTTCCGCTGTCTTCTGTGCTACTTGCAGCGTTCCTGTTTTGTTTTCTTACTCTGCAACATTTTTTCTAAATGCTGTGCATGTGTTGTTGTATTGGTTAAATAACGAGGAGATCTGCTGTATGTTGACATCATTCTCACTGTCTTCGCCGCCCTCCTCCTCCCGAACAGGCAGCTAGCTAAACTAAGCAGTAAGACCTGCATCAGGGTCCTCCACCATGTCCCCACAGCCAGCACTAGCCGAAGCCATCTTGTCTCTGGGATTTGCAGGTGGGAAAAGCAGGGGTCGGTTTTTGAAGCCACCGACTCCCTGAAGCTCTGTTGCAGAGTTGTTAGCATGGAGCTGCTCACAGGAGTCAGTGAGCAAAGCCTGGGCATGTTTAACTCCCACTCCAAGATGCAGAGTTCCTGCATCCTAGTGTGGAAGGGAAACAAGTCGAGTTTCTTTCCCACAGGCCAGAATCAGACACCAAGCCAAAGCCTGCTTAAATATGATTGGTCGATACTACCTGGACTACAAAATGAAACAAGAAAGCTTTCGATACCAAAACCTTGTCTCTTGCCTCCAGATTCTGCGTTCAGATATCTGTTGATTCCTGATGGACTGAAGTGGTTTTGGGAGATTTCAGGTCACTACAGTTTGTGTTTAACAGGAGCTGATGGACTCATGATGTTGTGTGATGTGATGACTGTCCATGTGTTTGATCAGATCCAACAGGTCTTCTCATCAAAGTGGTCGTCCTGCTGCTGACTCTGCTGTTGGTGATCGCTGCCCTTTGTTTCTACTATAAGGTACTGACACATGTCTGTTGTTTAGAGGACTGAGATGAAGCACTCGGTCTGTGTTTACTGACCTGAAGAAGAGGAGGAGTGATGCACTAACTCTCATGTGTGCTGTCATGTCTCTCCAGGCCAGCAGGGGGCAGAAGCCGGACAGGCAGGAGAACATTGAGCTGGATTATTATAACGTGGGTGTTTCTGCAGCTGAAGAGGAAGGAGCTCAGGGAGCAGAGTAGAACCTCCAAGAAGCTCATCTCAGCTGCCTCACAACCCACCATCAGCTCAGTCAAGGATTTTACACTTTTATACTGATGTTCCCTTTAAAGATATTGTGTTGTGATAAATCTTACCACCTTCTATGTTGTTGGTTTTTTTAATTTGTACTGAAAATGTCATGTCTTCCCACCCTCTGTTGAACCATGGTTGGCACTGTCAAGGAAATTATGTTCCTGGTAAGGGATTAAACATATAATTGAGTTACAACCAACCGTTGTCTTATTTTGTCTTTGTCTATTAGCAAAAAGAGAATAAACAGAGAAGTACTAAAACACCAGAGACAGCTGGTCCAGAGACCTGCCGCCGAGGGCAGCTTCGGGCGTCAGCATAATCATTTACACAGTCTAGGTTTCTATGTTTTGGGGAACAGAGATCCTCTCTCGGCCTTGAATGAATATTCCAGGAGAGGAGAGGAACAACAAGAGGGGGAAAACACCAAAACAATCTCACAGCTCTGACCTAAACCCTAGTAAATGTGGACAGACTAACATAAGGAGAATAATAGATGAAAGGTTAAGGAAAAAACAAAATGCATATATATCTGTAAGACATAACAATAATATTAATAATAATATTAAAATACCATACATGAAAGATTAAATGTAATGATTTTCTGCCATAACAAGCATCATCAGTGCCTCAACAGTCTGGACCCAGGTGACCCAAACAATTACCACCCAATCTTTAATCTACCTTTCCTCAATAAAATCATGGAAAGAGCTGTGGCTGTCCAAAACCATGTGTTCTACATGATAAACTATTTGAATCTCACCAATCTGGTTTCGGTGTGCATCACAACACAGAGACTGCTCTCTATCCTCATCCTCTTTTACCTCTCTGCAGCCTTCGACGCAATCTCGCACACCCTCCTTAACAGCCTCTCTGAACATATTGGCCTTACTGGCACCTTTAAAGACTTAAACATCACGCTGGTGCCAGTTAACAATGGTGTGCCCCAGGGATCTGTACTTGGTGAACCCCTTCTTTTCAATATCTACATGCTAACCCTTGGCTAGATTACATGGACTTAATTTCCACTGCTATGCTGATGACCCTCAGCTGTACATAAGCAACCAACTGTCAACCCAGCTGTACCCTTGCCACTTGTTAACTGCCTGCGAGACACAAAGACTTGGACAACTGCTAACTTCATCAAACTCAACAACAATAAAACTGAACTCATGGTGGTGGCTCCAGCGTCGCTGCTGAAGAAGGTCTTTGATGTCCTCCTGGAGGTAGATGGCTGCTCCATTTCTGCATCACCAGAAATGTGAAATCCGGGAATCATCCTGGACTCACCCTTCCATCCCAGTCTCACACCAGTAGTATCACAAAATCTGCTTTACAGGCTTCGGCCATACCGACCCAGGCGGATCTGGAACAATGTTAGCACAATACCGTTCAAATCAAATTAAATAAAAGTGAAGCATGTCAAGCACATTTAGCTCAAATCTGACAAAAAATCATCAAAATTATACAAATGGGAGCAAGAACACCTTTTTATGATACATTTTGTGTATTTCATAAGAATTCTGATTAATTTTGTAACTTTAAAAATTTTTCAATTAAGGTTTTAGGTGATTTCATAATCATGTTGAATCATTTGGTAAATAAGTTGCTTATTTTGTAAGAATTTCTCTTGTACTTTAAGTATTTTTTGCACATTTTGCTGTGAAATATCCTCATAACTAACTAAATAACCTGAATAGAAATATGAAGATGTGTGTAGCAGGAGCCTTCAGAGATCATAAAGATGAACAAATGAATAAAAATTTGATGTTTATTCTGCGTGGAGAGGACATCATTTTAGGACGTCTGTTAACCAGTTAAAGATGATATGAGGACATTTTTATGTCAAAATAAGAAATGAAACACACCCTTGTGTTGCACAGAGAGATGTGGAGACAGACTTTCAGGGTTTTTGAAGTCGGGTCCAGCGGATCATTATTGGACGTGAAAAGGACGGCACCATGTGACCCTCTGCTCTCAACCATTAAACAACCAAAACCTGACGTCATCAGGAGACATTCACACTCACCTGTGCAGGTGTGTTTGCTGGGAGGTTCAGTACACAGAGAGATGAGATGATGGAGATCAATAAATGTCTCACTGTCATCTGCTGTGTTCATACCACAA